CAATCACTGGGCTGTACACACACAGCACACACATGCACACACACACACGGACACACGCAGGCTCGCATCCTGCAGTCACTGGGCTCTGGTGCCAGCATCTAATCCTTGCTACAAATGCTGAGCCGCGGCCTTAGGCATAAGAGACTTGGAGGTGTTGGCGCACAGCAGGGCTGGCTGAGGGTCTGACTGCAGCAGGTTCCAGGGCAGCCCTGTGGGGTCCAGGCATCCCCGTCGGCTGCTCCTTCTATGTCCCCTGGCGCCCTTGTCTGCGTGTGCTGTGGCTTGAGCAGGTTGGGGAAGCCGCGGGCCAGTCACGTGGGGTGGGTGGGGGTGGCGAGTACCTTCTCAGCTGCAGGGTGCAAGGGAGGCAAACTCACTGCTGGTGGGTGTTTCCTGCAGGGGCCCTGCCTCTTAGCCCTGGCTTCGCATCAAAACCAGCTGGGGATTTTCCTCGTACTATTTCATGATGATTTTATGTATTTCAAGCACCCAGCACAGTGGGTGGAACCTGACGGTGAGCAAGCAGCCGCGCCCCACCTGGACCCCCCGAACCTCCGCCAGGCGGGCGAGGTCGCGTCTTCCTCCGTCTGCCATCATCCACGTGATCATTACTTCGGTTCAGAGTCAATTGCAGACAAATATCAGTAGACTTCTTGCTAAATACTTGAGTATCGACAACTCTGGGTTCAATGTTTTGCAGCTTTTTTGTCTTTTGCTATAAAATTCATGACAGAGGAAGCCCTGGGCCCTTTATTGTACCGTGCCTCGGTTCCAGCCTCAGAGACAGTGTGATGGCCCTGCAGCAGACGGTGGGCTTCAGTATATTTTAAAAGATTCCCGGGGGCCATGGCTTACTTGGTTAATCCTCCGCCTGCGGCGCCAGCATCCCATATGGGCACTGGGTTCTAGTCCCGGTTGGGGTGCTGGATTCTGTCCTGGTTGCTCCTCTTCCAGGCCAGCTCTCTGCTGTGGCCAGGGAGTGCAGTGGAGGATGGCCCAGGTGCTTGGGCCCTGCACCCCATGGGAGACCAGGAGAAGCACCTGGCCCCTGGCTTCGGATCAGCATAGCTCCGGCTGTGGCAACCATTTGGGGGGTGAGCCAACAGAAGGAAGACCTTTCTCTCTGTCTCTCTCTCTCTTACTGTCTAACTCTATCTGTCAAAAAAAAAAAAAAATTCCCAGATGAGTCTGTGGTACAGCCAAGGTTGAAAAACACTGAGATAAGAGGAGGCAAATGAGTATCAGTTTCCTGGGCTCCGGGCAGAATGCAGAGCTGTCCTGGCCACGTCCAAGCCTGCCCCTCCCATCCCCAGGCCCCTTCCTTTCCACTTGTTCTCTCCGTAGCGCCACTGGGTCTCTCATGGTCCAGTGCATATTTCCCAGTGGCAGATCCCTGTCTGTTGCAGACCCCGCACCTGCCACAGCCATGCCGACCCCACACATGCCACAGCCATCCCGACCCCGCACATGCCACAGGCATGCCGACCCCACACGTGCCACAGCCATCCCGACCCCGCACAAGACACGGCCATCCCGACCCCGCACAAGACACAGCCATGCTGACCCCGCACATGCCACAGCCATGCCTGTTCTTTCTCCCGGTGTCTGGGGAACTTCTGGCCACCCGGATGGAGGTGGTGGATGGGGGAGGTGGTGAAGCTCCTGGTAGGAGCACCAAGGGCCGAGGACGACACACGTGGCGGCCGTGGAGCTGTAGGTGGGTGGATGACGGTGGCTGTCCTGGTGGTGTGGGTGGTGTGCCCTCAGTAGCTCACTGGCCACAGTGATACCTGTCCCGGAAGATGCCCCCCAGCACCACCCACTGCTGCAAGGTGCAGCTCTGGTGGAAATTGTGTGAGACCACCTAAGAACTGCCCCGGAGCCCTGGAGCCCTGGAGCCCTGGAGCCCTGGAGCCCTGGAGCCCTGGAGGGGGCAGAGCCCGGCAGCCCCGTGCTCTGTCCCACAGCCCTTTAAGGCTGGGCCCCAGTGCTCAATATGAATGTTAGAATCAGAACAATTATTGAAGATGAACATTCTGGGAGCCAGCTGGGCAAGGGATGCCAGCCCTCCTGGGATCAAAAGAGACTGTTCGCTGGGGCCAGCACTGTGGCATAGTGGGTAAGACTGTAGCGTGCAGTGCCACCATCCCATATGGGCACTGGTTTGAGTCCTGGCTGCGCCACTTCTGATTCAGCTCTCTACTGTGGCCTGGGAAAGCAGTGGAAGATGGCCCGAGTGCTTGGGCCCCTGCACCCATGTGGGAGACCCGGAAGAAGCTCCTGGCTCCTGGCTTCAGATCAGCTCCGCTCCGGCTGTTGCAGCATCTGGGGAGTGAACCAATGGATGGAAGACCTCTCTGTAACTCTGCCTTTCAAATGAATAAGTAAATCTTTAAAAAGATAAAGAAAAGAAAAGGAGGAGGAGGAGACTGTTCGCAGCCTGCACAGCTGCCTGTCCCCTTCGTGCTTGGCAGGGACACTGCTACAAGCCGGGCAGCCGGGGGCAGAGGGGAGCAAAGCCCCTGGCCCCAGGGCCACTCCCTCTGTGGGAGGGGTTTAAGGATGAGGACGAGGTTGGAGCTGCTGAGACGCTACATTTTTTAAAATACCTGTATGTAAAAGATGCCTTCACAGTAACGTCGCCCAACGCTTTCATCTCACGGAGGAGAGAACTGGGGTGGCGCGGGCTGCAGATGAACCCCTGCGGAGGACGACATCACAGCTTCCTGGCAGCTGACAACCCCCGGCCAAGTGAGCCTCCCCGGGACCTGCTGGCCCCGGCACACCTCCACAGCGCAGCAGTGCGCCGTGCTGTCTCACTCAGCGCTGGCTTGACCCGAGCGTCTCAGCAAGGAGCGTAGAAGGCGCCGGTCTTATCCCCACCTTGGGGCTCAGAGGGCAGAGTGAATGGCAGAGGGAGCCCAGAACCCAGGGTCCCTGTGGCTGCTTCCCAGGGCTGCCAGCCGGAAGTCCCCCACCCTGGGTGACTCAAACAACAGGTGCTTCCTGTCTGGGGTTAGCAGGCCAGGTGCACAGCCCCGCATCTACAGAGCCATCCTCCCTCTGAGACCTGCAGAGGGCGCCCTCCCCTGCCTCTCCTGGCTTCTGAGTTCTGGGCTCACAGCTCCCACGCCCTCTCCCCCTGTGTCCCTGTCTTCATGGGGCATTTCCCTCGTACAGGGACACCAGCCAGCCATGCTGCCTCCCTGTTGTCACTTGATGACCTGTGCAAGGACCCTACTTCCAAGTAAGGTCAAGTTCACAGGTCCCGGGGTTAGGAGTCGGATGTAGCTGTGGGAGGGGACACGGTTCAGCCATCACAGTCCTGACTCCCAGGCTGACGGCCTTCAGGGACGTGTCCTGTGCGGCATCGCACCTGCTTTCTCCTCCCGTCTCTGTTAGCAAGGAGCCGCCCATCCCCCACCCCGCGTCTCCTGCCCTGCAGAGCGTGGGGCCAGCTGGGAGCAAGGCTGGGAGCACTTTGCACGCTCTGCTCTTCCCAAAGTATTACAGGCTACTAAAGCAGAAGCATGAAATATGGGTGGGCTTTTTATCTTTTTTATTCCCAGACAGTAAAAATCATTAAAGCCAGCACTTAATTAGTTTAATTTTGCAGCCTCTAAATATTGATTTAACCTACCCTCCTTTGTACTTGCTGCAGTCACTGAATTATGCCTCTTATTGATCACAGATGAAGCTTTTCCTTCCACTGAGCTCAGGGCCCTGGGAGCCACGGTCCCCCCACCCCCCACCCCCACCCGGGCCGCAGCAGGCGTGGGGGAGGAGCTGGGCGGCAGAGGGCCTGCCTCCAGGGCTGCTGAGCCAGCCCACCGCCAGTTTCTTCCTCCTGGGTTGGCCCAGGCACGGGGGAGTGTGATTAAGGAGGAGTCGACTGGAAATCTTGCTGCCGCCCCATGTTGGGCTGGAGGGAAGAGCAGGAGCCAGACATTGAGCGTGGGGGGTGGGGCTGGGCTGGGGCACAGAGAAGGGGCTTTAAGGCATCAGCTCACTGCCTCCCAGCTGGTCTGGCTCTGCGTTCCTGGGTGGGCTCCTCACCTCTCCCATCCACGGAAGGGGGCTGCTGCCTCCACAGCCTGCGCTCCTGTGAGCCTCATGGCAGCCGCTGCTGCCTGGGACCCAGCCCCAGCTTCCAGGGGTGCTGCCTCCCCGAACGTGGGCAGCCGCCCTTGCCCTCCTCTCGCGGGGGTTGCCTGCACTCCCCTAGGTCCTCACTCAGTGCATACAGGCGGGCTCTATTAATGCTCACCGGGTGCAGCTTCCCTGTGGCCGGGACAGAGGAGGTGGTGGGGTCTGGAGTACTTGAGTCCAGTCTGCCAGGGTCACGGTCGGCAGCTCCGAGCGCTCTAGGTGCCGCTGCTCCGGGTCTGTAGGATTCTAACCTGGGCTCCGGGGTGATCTCAGGTTTGAGCCTCTGTCCGAGGGGTGTGTTCAGAGGCAGCGTGCGAGGCGAGGTGGCGGGGGGGGGGGGTGCCTGGGAACCTGCATTTCTGACAGGTTCCCAGACTGCGCTTGCGCTGCTGCTCCGGGCACCACAGTGTGGGAGCCGCTGTCCTGGGCCACCCCCGCCCCCACTCGCAGACGGGAACCCAAGGGGTTCAAGCGGCCCCAGCCAGGTCTTCCCTGAGCCAGGACCACACCCCAGACCCAAGCCTTCCACGCCCTGGGCCTGGAGAGAGCCCTGTGGGGTGGGGAGGATGCAGGAGAAGAGCCGGACAGCCTGGAGGAGGTGGCCGGACGGTCAGGCCATTCTGCTGGACAGCCTGGAGGAGGTGGCCGGGATGTCAGGGCATCCTCACTGCAGTTAGGGGAAGAAAGCAAAGGGACAGCCAGGTGTCTGGGCCTGCCCCGAGGCGCTGCGCCCAGGCCCCGGCTCCGCCGCCAGCACCATCGCGTGATTTCTGTCCGAGCCTCATCCGGCGAACCTTCCCTCTCCGCCTCATCAGCTCTCATTCTGATCTCATCTTCCTTTCCATCCGCAGGGGCTCAGCCTTCTCCCCCAGGTTTAAGGGCTCTGCTCCATTGTGGCTCCGCCTCCCTTCCCACCACGGCCCCATGCTCGCTGGGGGCAGGAAGCCTCAGCCCCGGGCTCCAAGTCCCCGTCCCCACGCAGGCAGTCCTGAATTTCCTTCCCGCTGCCCCTCTCCGCCCTGCCTGGAGCAGCGCCCGGGCTGAGAGGGTACGTGCACGGATTCTTCCAGGGAGGAGGAAGGTTCATGATTTGGGAGGTGTAGGGGTGCTGGTGGTCAGGAAAGACACCGCAGAGAAAGGGCATAAACTGAGACTTGGGACGGAGAGGAATCGCCAGACGTGCACGTGGGGAAAGGGACTTGCGCGCTGGGACCCGGGATGTGCAAAGGCCTGGGGGCAGGGAGAGTGGTGCCTGGGTCTCTCTGGGGTCCCCTCTTCCCCCTGCACCCCGGCCCCAGCTCCCAGGGGCCCCTGTGTCTCAGAGCCTGCTCAGCACCCACGCTGGGCTGCCCGCCGGGCTGCAGAGGGAGGACCCTGCTGGGAGGGGCTCTCCCACCCCTTCCAGACAGTGTCTGGGAAAGGGGCGAAGCCGCTGCCCCCGAGCCAGGAGATGCTGGAGCTGGCTCCTTCTGGGTCACAGTTGTGTCCGGTGCTGGGGACGCACAAATGACCTCAGTCCTGACACCGTCCCGAGGCTGGAAGAGGACCCTCGCTGAGTGCTTGTGGTGGGCACTGGAACCCCGCCCGCACTGGGAGGAGGTGCCCTACCCGGAGTCCTTGTGCCCCGATGGGGCCGTCTGGGTGCTGGAAGCCGAGGAGTGGCCCGGCGGGGAATGTGGCTCCGACAACTTGAGGGAGACAGAACGGGAAAGAGGTGCTCCCGAGCCTGGGCACAGCACACGTTCCCCGCGCAGCAGGTCCCCCCTCCCATGGAAGACGCGTCGGAAGGAGGGCACTGCAGCTCACTCGGCCAGCAAGGGGGTCCCCAGGGAGACAGGTGAGCCAGTCTCTGAGGAGCCCGGGGCAGGGGCTGTGGCGGCCAGAGGCGCATCCCTGAGGGCCAGCAGAGGCACGGGCAGAGAGTAAACAGGTGCCGGGCCTGGGCCCCTCTCCGGGCCACTCCCCACTGGCGCCCTCCCCTCTTACGAAGAGAGGCCCAGGCAGGCTCCCTCCTAGGCCCCCCGCCTCTCCCACCCTCCGTGGGGCCGGCTGGAGAACAGAGCACTGCCCACAGGCCAGCCCCGCCTGCCCAGGCCCAGGCAGTGGTGCTCACTGGAACCCTGGCCCTGGTTCCAGAGGGGAGGGAGAGCAAGGGTAGACAAAGGACCCCTCACTCTGCCCAAGATGTGCCCGCCAGCCCCTGCCCACCTGGCCACCTGACCACAGGCGCTCTGCACGGTCACGGACTGAGCCGGGCTGGCACAGGATGCCCACCATGTTCACAGCTGGAGTCCTGCCCCAGCTGGCGGGGGCCCTGGCCCTGGACCCTTAGCTTCCCTAAGCCCAGGTCTCTGTCTACAGAGCACGCACCGTGGTGCAGGCATTGTGGCACACAGGTTAAGCTGCCTCTTATCCCGTCTCCCATGTTGGAGTGTCTGCTCCACTTCCCATCCAGCTCCCTGCTAATGCGCCTGGGAAGACAGCAGGTGCTCTGGTCCCACCACTCACCCGGGAGGCCCGATGGAGGTCCTGGCTCCTGGGCTTCTGCCTGGCCCAGCCCTGACTGTGTGGGCATTTGGGGAGTGAACTAGTTGATAGACGCTCGCACTCTCGCTCTCGCTCTGCCTCTCAAGGAGAGGAGAGACCCCCCCAGGCGGGGGTGTTTGGGGCTGCTCAGGTCTGTCGGGGGGCCTCTGTCTGCTCACCCTGTCCCCTGGGGCACTGCCACTGCCACATGTCATCGTCTCGGGGGTCAGCTGGCAGGCAGGGACTCAGCTTCCGAATGAGATGAACTCCGTTAAATGCTGCTCCTGGGGCTTTTTTAGCTGCAGTCCAAGGCAAACACACACTGAAGTGCATTCCTGCATCATGTCCGCTTACACAAGGGCAGATGTCTGTGTGCTGTTGTGCATGTGTGAAACAGGGGCCAGCCTTCCCTAAACAGTGCTTAGCCCGGCCACCCCCAGTGCATGCTGGTACCTCCCGGTGCCTTCTGTCTTTGAAGCCGCGCAGGCCGTGACCTAGTCGTGGCCCATGTTCCCAGTTCAGGTCAGGGCGCCTTGCCCATGTGGAAGGAGGCCCCAGGTCGGCAGAGGGGCACACGCTGGCCGGGCAGGGAGTCTCGGAGCCCATCGGGGAGGAAGGTGCTATGTGGCGATTCAGAGACCAGCGGGGCTATAACCAGGCTTCTCAGGGAAGGGAGGGCATTTGGGATGGGGTTTTGTGGCTGAAGAAGAGTTGCATGGCTGCAGTGAGGGAGGGTGTGTGGGGAAACAGGAAGCCTGGCTTAGTGGAGTGTGGGTGTGTGATAGAAAAAGGTAGTACAGGGGCAGTGAGAGGGCCCCCTAGGGTGCAGGGCCCGGGAGGGACCCCGCTGTGTGTGTGTGTGTGTGTGTGTGTGTGTGTGTGGAGGGGCAGATCACCACTGTGTGCTGGGCGCTGGAGGGTGGGGCTGACCAGCAGACTTGGGAGCAGGAAGAGGTGGCGCGGGGACAAGCTCCGCTCTCAAGGGAGTCCTTGAGCTGGCGAGTGAGGGGGTCAGCGGTGCGGGCCTCCCCTGCATCCTCTGGCCCAGACTGTGTGATGAGAAGGCCCCCCTGTGCGGGCCTATGGGACTAAGCCGGTCACCTAGCCGTCCTCCTGCCCGGGTCAGTGCCACCGCCCACGCTCCGCGTCTCGGCCTGGGGGTCCCGGGTTACGCGTGGTCCCGAGAGGCCACTCTGAAGTCAGAGGCTGCAAGAGGAGGATTTCGGGTTCCCACGCCACATGTGGTCAGCTCAGTGGGGGAGGGGCGTGCGGCTGGACGCTGCCTGGCAGGGGGCCTGGAGTGCCTGTGCCCCCCGGCTGCGGCTGCGGGGTTGGGGGAGTGCACCCTGTGTGCGCCGCCATGGACAGATAGGGAGTCAGCGGGAGGAGCGGCCACACTTCGGCACAGCAGCCGCGGAGGAGCCCAGCGCTCAGCAGGGCCAGCCCAGGGCCTTCCCGCCACTCCCCCTGGGCCGAGGGGTTTCCGATCAGACTCTGGAAGGTGGAGCCTGGTGTGTGGCTGAGGGAGAGGAGGGCTGCCTGCCGCCTCGTGCGTCGTGCACCGTGCGTCGGGCCCCTCCCCTTGCGCACCGGGCTGTGGGGCGTAGGCGGAGTCGTCTTCACAGCTCCGGGGTGACCTGGCACTGACTCGCCAGGGCCAGCTGTGGGGGCGGGGGGGCAGTGCTGGGTCCGCCAGCAGCATAGCAGCATCCGCGCCGTCTCAGTACCCGGCTGCGGAGGGCAGCAGCTCCAGCTACTAACCACGGAGCCCGCAAACACTTCCCGGGAGCCTTGCCAAAGCCCACAGCTTAACAGGGGTTCTAGGGGATAAATCCCAGGCTTTCTGCCAAATCCAGAGAGACTGTCTGGAGGAGGCAGGTCCGGTGGGTTTCACGGAGCCAGCCCTTACAAAAAACAACCTTGTTCTTGGAGGGGACATCCAAACCTATTCTCCCAAACTGTGGTTCCAGGGCTTTCTGTCTCCTGTCCCCGGCCCCCAGTCAGAAGACTGGGTCAGGTGTGCCCAGCCACACCCAGAGAGGAACAGGGTCTGAAGGGCCTAGCGGGTGGACCCTCGTCCATCGCTGCAGGGTACTGGGAGCCAGCTCCTGGGTGGCAGGTGTTGAGCGGCAGCGGCTGGGCTGAGCCAGAGACCCCGGATTTGCATCCCGGCCCTGCCCCGTAGAAGCCGTGCAGCCTGGTGAGTGGGTGCCTTCACCCTGCTGAGAGCCAGCAAGCCCTGATGCCTGCAGGCGGGGTGGACGGGAGGATTCCGTGGGGAGCACTCACTCCCAGGGACCCTCTCCGTGCTCAGTGCCACCCCAGAGCTCTGGGGACTCAGGAAGCCTGTTAGACATGGTCCCTGTCACAGAGAGCCAGAGACGCCGCGGGGGAAACGTGCCGGTGGCAGGCTGCAGATGAGAGACAGACAGCTCCCCGCCGCCCGCTAGCAACTGTCCATCAGCCTGCATGAGGGCGTCGCGTGCCAGGTGAGTGGGCGGCTCCAGGCTCCCCCCGGCAAGGGGCTGTGTGTGAGCAGAGTGAGGAGGACTCGCCTGGGCCTCGGGGTCAGAGGTGAACTCGTGCCATCAGCTGTGCCCTCCCTCTGGAGCCCGAAGCCTAATGCTGGGCTCTGCCTCACTCCCCCTGCCCAGCCCAGGTAGGTGAAGGGGACGGAGCTGGCTGGGGCTGGCTGGAGCTGGCTGGGGCTGGCTGGAGCTGGCGGGGAAGGCGAGCCCCTGGAGGGCTTTCAGAGAGAGAGGGAGACCAATCTTCCATCTGCTGGTTTACTCCCCAGATGGCTGCAATGGCTGGGACTGGGCCAGGCCAAAGCCAGGAGCCAGGAGCTTCATCCAGGCCTCCCACCATCCTCCTGGTTCCCAGGTGCATTAGCAGGAAGCAGGACCGGAAGTGGAGCAGCCTGGACTCAAACTGGTGCCTGTTTGGGATGCCAGCATTGCAAGGCATCTTAACCTGCTGCACCACAACGTCAGCCTCTCAATTCAGTTTTTCTTTTCTTTTCTTTTTTTTTTAAGATTTATTTGAGAGGCAGAGTACAGAGAGGGAGAGAGGGAGAGACAGTGAACTCTTCCACCTGCTGATTCACTCCCTAGATAGCCACAACGGCCAGGGCTGGGCCAGACCAGAGCCAGGAGTTTCTTCCAGGTCTTGCACCTGGGTGCAGGGGGCCAAGCACTTGGGCCATCCCCTGCTGCTTCCCCAGGTGCATTAGCAAGGAGCTGGATCAGAAGTGGAGCAGCCAGGACTTGAACCGGTGCCTATATGGGATGCTGGTGTCACAGGCAGTGGCTTTACCCACTACGCCACGACGCCAGCCCCTCAATTCGGGTTTTTTGTTTGTTTGTTTTGCCAGGCAGAGTTAGACAGTGAGAGAGAGGTACAGAGAGAGAGTTATAGACAGTGAGAGAGAGACAGAGAGAAAGTGGTCTTCCTTCCATTGGTTCACTCCCCTAATGGCTGCTACAGCCAGCGCACTGCGCTGATCCGAAGCCAGGATCCGGGTACTTCCTCCCGGTCTGCCGTGCAGGTGCAGGGGCCCAAGCACTTGAGCCATCCTCCACTGCCTTCCCGGGCCACAGCAGAGAGCTGGACTGGAAGAGGAGCAACCGGGACAGAATCTGGTGCCCCGACCGGGACTAGAACCTGGTGTGCCGGCGCCGCAGGCGGAGGATTAGCCTATTGAGCCACAGCGCCAGCCCTCAATTCGTTTTTAAAAGGTTTCTTGATCCATTCTGTGCTGTGGAGCACTGATCCAACCCTTAGAACAAATTGTAGGGGAAGAGGGGGATGCAGGGGCTCGGGGAGGGGCCGGCTGGAGAGCCCAGTGCACCCTCACCCCCCGCACTGTGCTCACTGCCTGGGCTCTCCAAATCGGTTTTGCATTTTTGGTCCTACCTCCCCAGCCAGAACGCACTTACTATTATTTTTGTTTGTTTGTTTTTTGACAGGCAGAGTGGACAGTGAGAGAGAGAGAGAGACAGAGAGAAAGGTCTTCCTTTGCCGTTGGTTCACTCTCCAATGGCCGCTGCGGCCGGCGCACCGCGCTGATCCGATGGCAGGAGCCAGGTGCTTCTCCTGGTCTCCCATGGGGTGCAGGGCCCAAGCACTTGGGCCATCCTCCACTGCACTCCCGGGCCACAGCAGAGAGCTGGCCTGGAAGAGGGGCACCCGGGACAGAATCCGGCGCCCGACCGGGACTAGAACCCGGTGTGCCGGTGCCACAAGGCGGAGGATTAGCCTAGTGAGCCGCGGCGCCGGCTACGTACTTACTATTATTAAGAGAGACAGACAGAGATCTCTTACTTCCTGGTTCACTCCCCCAAGCCCACAACACCCAGAGCTAGGCCAGGCCAAAGCCAGGAGCCGAGAACCGCACCCGGGTCTCCCACACGTGTGCGTGGCAGGGGCCTAGCTATTTGAGTCACCCCCTGCTGCCTCCCAGGGTGGGCATTAGCGGGGAGCTGGGGTCAGGAGCAGAGCCAGGACTTGAAGCCAGGAGATCAAACCCCCGAGGCAGGCGTGTGCCAAACACCCAGCCCCACAGTGGTGCTCTGAAGGCATGGCCATGTCCCTTGTTTCTGAAGGCAGGGGGAGAGCTCTGTGGAGCCCCAGGCCCAAGTCCTACTGTCCCCCAACAAGCCCCGGAGCTGGTGAGCCGCCGCCCACCTGCCGACCCCCTCCCCGGGAGCTGCCCAGAGCTGGAAGGCAGCCACTGCTGGTGGAGCTGTGTGTGTGTGTGACACACTCCTCATTTTACACAGGGTAACAGACGCTCAGAAGAGGCAAGTGACTGTCTGCAGGGGGCTCTGGCAGGGAGAGGCAGAGCCAAGAGGTGGGCCCAGGCCTGTTGCAGGCGGCCCTGCTGGCTCGAGCCAGGGGTGGGCGGGAATCAGTGGCCTCTGGGGTGTAAGTGTGGTGGGACCCCCAGCCTTGGATCCGGTTCCCTGACGGGGACCCCTCGGGGCCTGAACTCATCCATTGCTTCCTCCCACCCGCAGGCCGTACCACAGTCCCTCCCCTCGCCCCCATCCCTGGGTTGGATGGCCACATTCCCTGAGCCTGCCCTGGGCCACGTGTGCAGGCCTGCATGCCTGTGTGCACGTGTTTGTTTGCCCTGAGTTGTGCGTGTCAGTGCACACACACACACACGCATGCATGCACCTACGCAAAACCTCTGCCTTTTAAGCCACGGTTGTTTTTCCCACCTTCAGAAATAGCTGCAGAGGAAAGTGGGGAGTAGTCAGATGCAAACGGGCACTCTCCTGCTCAGGGGAGGGCGCCCTGCCCCCAGCTGCCCCCGCCCCGCACGCCAGTGTCCTGGACGTGGGATGAGCTGGGCGCGGAGCCCCTGGGCTGGCCGAGAGGCACCCGCCTGCGTGGCGCTGCGAGACACGGCTCCCACTCTGCAGCCCCTGGAAAGGGGTCCTCCCCTGGGGACCGCAGGAGCCAGTGCGCCCCAGGCCTCAGCAGGGAGGGGTGGAAAGCGACAACCGGCAGGCTGGGGGCCACTCCTGCCTCTTGGCTGCTTTCCAGCTCTGTGAGCCGAGCTGTTCAAGGTCTTCTGGACCTCAGCTTCCGCATCTGCAAACTGGGCACACGAACGCCTATCCCCTAGGCAACAGCTAAGATGACGTCAGACGTTCAGTCTCCGGAGGTCCTGGGTGGGGGTGGGCCCTCAGCAGGCGTCTGCTTCCCTGAGAACTGCGCGGCCTCGGGCCTCTACTCGGGACGCAGGACAGGCCCCAGCGGGGAACATAGACTCTGGCTCCTTTCCTTCCCTCTTGGGGTCAAGGCCGACATGGGACCATCCTCCAGGGCAGCAAGCCTGGCCCTGGGACCTGAGAGAACCTGCGCCCGTGGGACCCCGGCGTGTCAGTGTGCCTGGATAGGTGACGCCCACCGGGGAGGGAGGAAAGAGCAGTGGCTTGATTCCAGATTGGGGGGGGGGGTTGGGGGGGATCTAGTGTGTTGGGGGGTCTAGTCTCCAGGGGGAAAGGTCCCTGGGACCACAGAGGTTGGTTCCTACAATACACTTGGCACGTGTCCTGGGCTCTGGTGCAGCAGTGAGACAGGTCTGTGGTTGAAGCGGTCTCCCCGTGTGGCCTGGCCAGGGCCGTGACAGCAGGAAGCGTGGGCCAGACAGGCCGGATATTTGGAGACGCTGTCCCAGGAGGTGGCTGAACTTGAGTCTTGAAGGACACGTTGGAACTGTCCAGGGAGGAGTCAGGGTGACATCAGCCCCAGCGGCCTGTGCACAAGACAAGCCAGGAGTGGCCAGGCCTTGTCACACGGGTCTTAGCCACAGGGCTGAGGAGTGCAGATGTGGGTGTCTGGACCCCACAGGCTCCAGGCAGCTCTGCCAGGCTGCTGGGAGAGAGAGCGCTCTGCCTGCAGGACCCCCGACTTGGGAAAGTCTAAGTGGGTGGTGTAAGGTCGCCACAAAAACACACCAAACACCAGAGTAAGGGAAAGGGTTTATTGGGGAAAACCCAGCAGGCTGGAGGGAAGGGGCGAGAAGGAAAAAGTGAGTGACTGAGAGAGAGAAGAGATAGCCAGGAGAGAAGAGAGAGAGCAAGAGGAGAGAGGAGCCAAGAGAGAGGAGAGGGAGCCACGTGTTTAGGAGCAGGTCCTTTTAAAACTTTGCTGTGGGTGGGCAGGGAAGTAGGAGCAGCGAATCCTGTTAGGATGAGGGTGGAGCTTGACACCGGTGGTTGGGCCATGTGGCCACCTGGCTTCCAGCCATGGCGGCGGGGGCTGGAGCCTAGGATGGTGTCAGGGTGTATAGATCGCGCCATAGATAAGACTGCGCCATTTTCCTAACAGGTGGCAGGCAGGACCTGCCGCCTCCCCAGCCTCCTTGGATGTCAACTCCGGAGTTCTGGGGCCCATCTCAGGTGCTGGAAGCTGCCCTTGCTCCCACCAGCTGCTGCCCACCCCCACCTACCCTGCCAGGGGAGGTCTCAGCCATCATCTTACCCAGCAAGCCAAGGTGGGGGGAGGGCTGGGGTCAGAAAGGTTAGGGGGCGCCTACCCTCATCTCTCCGGGCTCGGGAGAACTGCAGGTGACAAGGGCCCCAGACCCTTGGCTCTCCTTCCCGCACACACACACCTTCCTCCGAGTTCTCCCAGGTCTTTCCCCGACGACTGCCAGTGGCTCCCTCCTGAGGTCATGGGAAAGGACACAGCAGCCTTAGGGACTGCAGGGCAGGACCTGGCCCTGGCCTTGGCCTGCTCCCTGCCGCTTCTTAGGCTTCGCTGGTAGCTCCTTAACTCCGGTCCTCTCCTTCCAGGGCCGCCCCGACGTGGCGTGGCGATGAGCGGGAAGGCCCAGCGCCGGTGGACAAGGATGAGGATCCGCACCCAGGCGGGCCAGCAGTGATGCCCCCGTCCCCTCGGAGAATGGCTGCCCTGGGCAGGTGCTTCCCCGGGCCCTGGCCGGGCTGCTGATGCTCACCTGCGCACGGCAAAGAGCAGGACTCTGCGCTCGTCCCGTGGATGGTCCCCTGCCCTGCAGCTCCACCATGGGGCTCCTGGTGGCACCCCTCCTGCTAGCCTGGGTGGCCGGTGCCACTGCCGCCGTGCCCGTGGTGCCCTGGCGTGTGCCCTGTCCCCCGCAGTGTGCCTGCCAGATCCGGCCCTGGTACACGCCGCGCTCGTCCTACCGTGAGGCCGCCACGGTGGACTGCAACGACCTGTTCCTGACGGCGGTGCCCCCGGCGCTGCCTGCGGGGACGCAGACCCTGCTGCTGCAGAGTAACAGCATCGTGCGCGTGGACCAGAGCGAGCTGGCCTACCTGGCCAACCTCACGGAGCTGGACCTGTCCCAGAACAGCTTCTCGGACGCCCGGGACTGCGACTTCCGGGCCCTGCCCCAGCTGCTGAGCCTGCACCTGGAGGAGAACCAGCTGGCGCGGCTGGAGGACCACAGCTTCGCGGGGCTGGCCGGCCTGCAGGAGCTCTATCTCAACCACAACCAGCTGTACCGCATCGCCCCCCGGGCCTTCGCGGGCCTCGGCAGCCTGCTGCGGCTGCACCTCAACTCCAACCTGCTCAGGGCCGTTGACAGCCGCTGGTTCGAGATGCTGCCCAGCTTGGAGATCCTCATGATCGGCGGCAACGCGGTGGACGCCATCCTGGACATGAACTTCCGGCCGCTGGCCAACCTGCGCAGCCTGGTGCTGGCGGGCATGAACCTGCGGGAGATCTCCGACTACGCCCTGGAGGGGCTGCAGAGCCTGGAGAGCCTCTCCTTCTACGACAACCTGCTGGCCCGCGTGCCCAGGCGGGCGTTGCAGCAGGTGCCGGGGCTCAAGTTCCTGGACCTGAACAAGAACCCGCTGCAGCGCGTGGGGCCGGGGGACTTCGCCAACATGCTGCACCTCAAGGAGCTGGGGCTGAACAACATGGAGGAGCTGGTCTCCATCGACAAGTTCGCCCTGGTCAACCTCCCCGAGCTGACCAAGCTGGACATCACCAACAACCCGCGCCTGTCCTTCATCCACCCCCGCGCCTTCCACCACCTGCCCCGCATGGAGACACTCATGCTGAACAACAACGCCCTCAGTGCCTTGCACCAGCAGACGGTGGAGTCCCTGCCCAGCCTGCAGGAGGTGGGGCTCCACGGCAACCCCCTCCGCTGCGACTGCGTGATCCGCTGGGCCAACGCCACGGGCACCCGTGTGCGCTTCATCGAGCCGCAGTCCACCCTGTGTGCGGAGCCGCCCGACCTGCAGCGCCGCCCGGTCCGCGAGGTGCCCTTCCGGGAGATGACGGACCGCTGCCTGCCCCTCATCTCGCCCCGCAGCTTCCCCCCGAGCCTCCAGGTGGCCAGCGGCGAGAGCAAGGTGCTGCACTGCCGGGCGATGGCGGAACCAGAACCCGAGATCTACTGGGTCACTCCAGCCGGGGTGCGACTGACGCCCGCCCATGCGGGCAGGAGGTACCGGGTGTACCCGGAGGGAACCCTGGAGCTGCGGAGGGTGACGGCGGACGAGGCCGGGCTGTACACCTGTGTGGCCCAGAACCTGGTGGGGGCCGACACCAAGACAGTCCGCGTGGTGGTTGGCCGTGCGCCCTTCCAGCCGGACAGGGGCAGCGGCAGCCGGGGCCTGGAGCTCCGGGTGCAGGAGACCCACCCCTACCGCGTCCTGCTCTCCTGGGTCCCCCTGCCCAACACAGTCTCCACCAACCTCACCTGGTCCAGCGCCGCCTCCTTCCGAGGCCGGGGGCCCCGCGCCCTGGCCCGCCTGCCCCGGGGCACCCACAGCTACAATATCACCCGCCTCCTGCAGGCCAGCGAGTACTGGGCCTGCCTGCACGTGGCCTTCGCCGATGCCCACACCCAGTCGGCTTGTGTGTGGGCCAGGACTACAGAGGCCGCTCCTTGCCACGGGGCCCTGGGGGACCGGCCGGGGCTCATCGCTGTCCTGGCCCTGGCCATCCTCCTGCTGGCAGCAGGGCTCGCCGCCCGTGTCGTCAGTGCAGGCCGGCCCAGGCCGGGGGTGGCCGCGCGGCCTCTCCTCCCAGCCTGGGCTTTCTGGGGCCAGGGTGCCCCGTCCATCCGGGTGGTGTCCGCGCCCCTTGTCCTGCCCTGGAATCCCGGGAGGAAGCCGGCTGGATGCTCAGAGCGGGGCACGCTTTCGCCACCGTTGTCTCAGAACTCCTGAAGCCTGGCTGTTCTCGGCAGCAGGGGAGGAACTAGGACCGCTCTGTACCGAAAAGGGACGCACCCCGAGGAAAGCGACTCGGACCTGTGGGCTTGGGGCCTGGCAGCTGGACGGAGACAGATGGAGCTCTGTGGCCCCAGGGGGGCATCCCCAGGGCCTGCTGCCAGCCCCAGGAACCTCGCCCAGGACAGGAAGGACCCTGGCCAGGGCCTCCCACCTGCCCATTTCTCTGGGGGCTCAGGGTTCCTGGCCCCTCGCTTGGCCGTCCCCTGCCTGTCCCCGGGGCCGCTGGCCCACAGGCGGCCTCCCTTCCTTTCTCGCTATCGTGCAGTCTTGGTTGCTTGCTCTTCCCCCTCCTGGGCAAGGGCTGAAGGGGGCCTCTCCTTCCCACCTCGGGGCCCACCCTCAAAGCAAGCACGACCCCCAGACAGACCCGAAGGACCCCTGGGGACAGCCCGGGCTCCCTGGAGCGGACTTTCTCTCGGCAATTTTGTACCTTTGTGGAGAAATGTGTCCCCAACCCCAACCCCATTCGCTCTCTTCTATTTTGTAAAAAATAAAAATAAACAATAACAACAATAATCCGGGAAAGGAAAGGCGAAGAACCCTTTGGATGGCGCGTGTGGCTCAGAGCTCTCCGCTCCGGGCTCTGCAGGAGGAAAAAGGGAGCGAGGAGGTGGCGGGTGGCGGGTTCCCTCTGCGGCTGGAATTCTGGCCTTCCAGGTGCCTCTGGAAGTGGCCCTAGGGGTCTCCTGTGAGCAGGAGAGGCGGGCGGTGGCCAGAGACAGCAAGGAGAGGGTGGGAGAGGAAGCAGGAGACAGAGCTGGAGATGGAGAGAGCGGAAATTTCCATCCCCAGACAGTGCCACCCCTGCTTCTTCTCTGATAAGCAATTAACATGCTGGTGCATGGGAGAAGTCCCGGCCTGTTTCTCATTAAACAAACCCAAGGGGCAGGCGCACGCAGAGAATTGCAAATCAGGAAGACAGCAAGAACTCTGGGCTAGGGCAGCAGGGGCCTGGGGTGAGGGAGGGCCGAGGAGGGGCGGGAAGCCGCCTGTTTCTTTCCATTGCAGGGTGATCTGCAACGAGCCAGGTCCGCTTTTGCGGTTGTTTCTGTGGCCTTAAAAAATCACAAGACCGACTGCCTTCTGACAGCCAGGCGCGAAAAGGAGCCTCTGTCGGAAACTCAGCAGTCGAGGACGTCGGGAGAGTGGGCAGTGCTGGGCCAGCAGAGGCCACCGCACAGGGGCCGTGTCTGGGGCTGGCAAGAGGGAGTGCGACCCCTGGGCCTGACACGGAGCCACAGCCCACGTGGTTCGGCTGTCGGTGGGATGCCTGCCTCCCCATCAGAGTGCTTGGGTTCAAGTCCAAGCTCCGCTCGCAATTTCAGCTTCCCGCTGATGTGCACTCAGGAGGTGGCCGGCGATGGCTCAAGTACTGAGGTCCCTGCTGTGCACGTGGGAGGCCCGGAGTGCATCCCAGCTCCTGGCTTTGACCTGGCCCAGCCCTGGCCATTGCAGGCATTTGAGGAGTGAACTAGGGGATGAAAGACCTTTCTCTGCCTCTGAAATCAAATGGGTTTTTGAAAGGCCACACATGAGCCAGAGGGGCCTGTGTCACGGAACACATTCGGCAGGCTTGTTGGGAGAGGGTCCATCGAGGCTGCCAGTGCACACACAGCTGCCACGCTGGTGACAGAGCCCTGGGCTGGTGTCCATCTCGGCAGGCACGGAGGGCAGTGCTCTCCGCAGGCCAGCAGCCAAAAGGCAGCCGAGCACCTGCCCAGCCCCCTGGTAGTTCACCCACTTGATTCCCATCAGAACCACCGGAGGGCTTGTGAGATGGGCCCACCCCCAGAGTTTCTGATCTGTCGAAGCCAGGCAGGGCCTGAGAGTCTCATCACAAAGTCCAGGTGCCCCCACCAATGCTGGGGGCTACGGAAACACCTGAAGAAGCCCCGGGCAGCCACACTTTCACAGACCACGCAGGTTAAGGCTCTGGAAGAGAGCTGGGGCCGGGGCTGGAGGGTGGCCCCTGCTCCTCCCCACTCACCCCTGCTTCAGGATGGTCCCAGCCTGAGGTCGGTGAGCGCCTTCCAGGAGAAGCAGAGGAGCTTCCTACACCTGCACCCACAGCAGGCAGGCCTGCCCCCTTCCCACCGGCTCAGGGGTGGGGGCCGCAGTCGGTTGGAGCTGGATTCCCTGTGATCCCCTAGGAGGCGGCGCAGAGCCCGGGCTGGTCAGGGAGCGCCGAGTGAGCAAGCAGTGCCCTCCTTTCCTGGCTGCCCCGGGACGTGGAGAAGGCAGGCGCTGGTCCCTTTCAGGAAGCACCCGAGCCAGTTAGCGGCTCCCATTGCCACCCACAGCGTCCCCACACTGCCCCTGCGGCCCTGAGCTTGCTCAGCAGCGACCAGCAAAGTGGCCGCGGCAGATGTCAAGCCAGGGCTGTAGACCCTGCAGCTGGAAGGGGGAGGGGGCGTGTGCTCGCCATCTGATGCTTCCTACCTCCACCCTCCACTTCCCTCAGACTCCTCAGCCACAGGCAGGAAACAGAGGGGGATGGGAGGCTGTGAGTCTCCCCTGGGGGTAGGGAGACATCTCCCATCCGTCCCCAGGCCCACGTGCACGACTGCTCACGTCCTTAAAAGAGCATCCCTTCTTGGCATGAGACCCTGTGACTTACTCTGTCTGCTACTGAGCCCTCAGGCCCTGCACGCTGGGCTACCCCAGGGAAGTAAGGCGAGGGGGCGAGGGGAGAGTGGCCTTTCTCCTGGAAAACAGGTGACGCTGCAGGAACACAGCCGGGGACAGGGAGGAAAAGGCACTCGGTGGGGGGCTGTGTCCTGGGCCAGCCAGAAGCTGGACCGATGAGAAAGACAGCCCCCCCCCACACACACACACACGCGCGCGCGCTCCCAACTGAAGTGCTGGCCACAGGCCACAGGTGTGTCTCCACCAGGAGCGAGGACAGTGGGGCCCGCCCTGCTGTCAAGGGTCCGCGAACACCTGCTGAGGGGCTGCTGTGGTCTTAGCTGTCACGTGAGCCCAGGATCTAAGCACGCTGGGCTGGAAACAGACAGCCATCAGTGCTGCCGTCTTCTGTACATTTAATATCAGTGGGGCTTTTTTTGCTTATTTTGAGTTGTAGACCGAGAGTTTCCATCCACTGGTTCATGCCCACAAAGGCTCAGGCTAGCCCAGGCCAAAGCCCGGAGCCAGGAACTCCATCCGAGTGGCCCACTCGGGTGTCAGGGGCCCAGCCGGGTGAGCCAGCACTGCGGTGTCCCAGCGTCTGCACCAGCGGGAATCTGCGCTGAGGCGCCGGAGCCATGGACTCCGATACAGAACGCGGGCATCTCAGCCAGCATCGTAACCGCTGGGCCAAGTGCCCACCCCAAAGATTGTTCTTTCTGAATTCTAAATAGAAAGCGCTGTCTATTCTTGTTTCCGTTTTCAGCTGTTACTTGGGGGCCTATCATTTCCGTCTATGGGGAGGATTGCAAAACCCAGCCCAATTGTTGAGCGTATTAATTTTCCCTCCCTAGAGCCTGCCACTGGCGGACTCCTCCTGCCTGCTGCGTCCCCATCAACAGCTCCGACAGCTTGTGGGGCAGATCTGGGCCAGGAGACAGCGCCGTGGCTCGCCACTGCAGCCTGCCCACCAGCCTGGCGCCAGCCCGTCCATCACGCCTGGTGCGGCCGCTCAGCTGGCTGCGAGCCGCTGTCACAGTGGACGCTGGCGGCGGCTGCGCTGAAGCGAGGACACCAGGTGTGAGCGGCTCCTGGGTCTCAGAGGCAGGTGACACTGGCTGGTCCAGCCCAGGAGGACCAACGGGGCCTTTCCTGGTGTTAGCCCTGAAGGTCCCTGTTCAAGAACTCTCTCCGTCCCGGGAGAACTCCAGCCTGCTGAACTCTGAGTCAGTCCAAGCCATCTTCCGCCCTCCCTCCCTCCCCTTCAACAAGTCTTTAACCAACAGGACTGTGTGGAGGGCGCTGCTCAAGGGAAACAGGAAAACAGTCCCTGAGGCCAAGCACCTTGCAGGTAGGGCAGGGAGGAAGCGCATGAGCAGGAGAATAAAGGGAGCTATTCCAGGTGCTTCCAAAAGGTGCACTGATTGGGTGCAGGGGACTTGAAGTCCAGGCATCGTTCTTTCACGATGGGCACTTCCCATGAACTCATCGAAGAGCAGGTGTGCACATGGATTTCAAAATGTTTGTACCAGAATCAGCTGATCTTTTAATTCCACTCTCCGTAAAATGTTTGAAGGCCCCTCGCATAGCATGTTGGGTGGCAATGAGTACTATGGAGAAAAAAAGTCAGGAACGCGGATAAGGAATGGGTGCTTAAACAGGATAGTCACAGGGGCCCTTTAAAAAAAAAAAGTCGTGGGGCCTCTTCTGGCTCTCCCTGGAGAAGGGGTGGAGAGGCTGCGGAAGTCCTGGTGGGCCCTTGATCTTTAGACTCAGGGCAGAGTCCCAGTCACAAGAATTTTGCTCTGTTAGCGCAGGACCATATCCAAGGAGGCTGAGTTAACGCAATCTGTGACCAAGAATTTATATAGGAACTCATCTGGGTGCTCTGCCTATCTGGTTATCACCAGGAACACCTTCAGTGACCTCGGGAGTGTGGGGAGCAACTGGGAGCAACTCGGACTAGACTAAGTTACTGGAATTAAGACTTATTCTATGCATCTGCTCTCCCACAATATGGCGCTGAGAAGGGAGTAACAGCTTCTACACAGCTGCCTCCAGTTCAACCAATAAACTGTAGGACCTGCTCCTGATTGGAGGAGAGCAGCGTACTCGGCGTGTGGGTAGCAGAGTTGGGATTGGTGGAAGAGGACTATAAAGGAGGAGAGAGACAGCATGCACCAGGAACATCTAAGGGGAACATCTATCTGAAGGAACACCTGTGCAGCCCCCGAGAGAGCCGGCCGGTGGTGTGCCGCTCCCCTGCGGAAGTGGGGAATGTGGCAGGGGGAACCGCCCTTCCACGGAGGTGGAAGTGTCGGTAGCCAACCCGGGAAGAACCAGCAGCAAACCCGGGGAGGGCCGAGCAGACGAAAGAACAGCGCAGGGTCCTGTGTCGTTCCTCCACGAAGAGGGGGAGCGACATAGTGGTGCCGTGACTCGGATATGAAGCCTAGGCAGGGCTTAGTGTCGTTCCTCCACGAAGAGGGGGAGCGACAGGGAGCTGCTGTGCTGGGCTCCAGCACCCTCCGCCCAGCAGAGCTGCAACCTTCAGGACCTGAGCATTTCCCCTCTGCTGGGCCAGCAGGTGGCTCAGGCTCCCCGGTGAGTGGGAGGGGCAGTGAACATCACAGGCACCCTGCCGCCCTCCACAATGCCTGGCACTGAGCGCATTGGGCCCCCAGGCCATGTGATTGGCTGGGCCCAGTGGCCCATGGCCACTCTCTCTGAGCCTTGTACAGGTTTCCCTGAAGAGCCACAGCCGGCAGCAGTGACGATGACAATGAGGACTCTGCCCTTATCTTAGATGCGGAGTGGCCTCTGACAGTTATTTTACATTAAAAGTTGGCCCTTTACTTTATGGACTCCTTTTAAATTAAACCAAAAATTTTT